ACAAAAGGGTGGCTCAGAGAGGACAAAAGGGTGGCTCAGAGAGGACAAAAGGGCGGCTCAGAGAGGACAAAAGGGTGGCTCAGAGAGGACAAAAGGGCGGCTCAGAGAGGACAAAAGGGTGGCTCAGAGAGGACAAAAGGGTGGCTCAGAGAGGACAAAAGGGTGGATCAGAGAGGACAAAAGGGTGGGTCAGAGAGGACAAAAGGGTGGGTCAGAGAGGACAAAAGGGTGGTTCAGAGAGGACAAAAGGGTGGCTCAGAGAGGACAAAAGGGTGGCTCAGAGAGGACAAAAGGGCGGCTCAGAGAGGACAATAGGGTGGCTCTGAGAGGACAAAAGGGTGACTCAGAGAGGACAAAAGGGTGGCTCAGAGAGGACAAAAGGGTGGCTCAGAGAGGACAAAAGGGTGGCTCAGAGAGGACAAAAGGGCGGCTCAGAGAGGACAAAAGGGTGGCTCAGAGAGGACAAAAGGGTGGCTCAGAGAGGACAAAAGGGTGGCTCAGAGAGGACAAAAGGGTGGCTCGGAGAGGACAAAAGGGTGGCTCAGAGAGGACAAAAGGGTGGCTCAGAGAGGACAAAAGGGTGGCTCAGAGAGGACAAAAGGGTGGCTCAGAGAGGATAAAAGGGTGGCTCAGAGAGGACAAAAGGGCGGCTCAGAGAGGACAAAAGGGTGGCTCAGAGAGGACAAAAGGGTGGCTCAGAGAGGACAAAAGGGTGGGTCAGAGAGGACAAAAGGGTGGTTCAGAGAGGACAAAAGGGTGGCTCAGAGAGGACAAAAAGGTGGCTCAGAGAGGACAAAAGGGTGGCTCAGAGAGGACAAAAGGGCGGCTCAGAGAGGACAAAAGGGTGGCTCAGAGAGGACAAAAGGGTGGCTCAGAGAGGACAAAAGGGTGGCTCTGAGAGGACAAAAGGGCGGTTCAGAGAGGACAAAAGGGTGACTCAGAGAGGACAAAAGGGTGGCTCAGAGAGGACAAAAGGGTGGCTCAGAGAGGACAAAAGGGTGGCTCAGAGAGGACAAAAGGGTGGCTCAGAGAGGACAAAAGGGTGGCTCAGAGAGGACAAAAGGGCGGCTCAGAGAGGACAAAAGGGTGGCTCAGAGAGGACAAAAGGGCGGCTCAGAGAGGACAAAAGGGTGGCTCAGAGAGGACAAAAGGGTGGCTCAGAGAGGACAAAAGGGTGGATCAGAGAGGACAAAAGGGTGGGTCAGAGAGGACAAAAGGGTGGGTCAGAGAGGACAAAAGGGTGGTTCAGAGAGGACAAAAGGGTGGCTCAGAGAGGACAAAAGGGTGGCTCAGAGAGGACAAAAGGGCGGCTCAGAGAGGACAATAGGGTGGCTCTGAGAGGACAAAAGGGTGGTTCAGAGAGGACAAAAGGGTGACTCAGAGAGGACAAAAGGGTGGCTCAGAGAGGACAAAAGGGTGGCTCAGAGAGGACAAAAGGGTGGCTCAGAGAGGACAAAAGGGTGGCTCAGAGAGGACAAAAGGGTGGCTCAGAGAGGACAAAAGGGTGGCTCAGAGAGGACAAAAGGGTGGCTCAGAGAGGACAAAAGGGTGGCTCAGAGAGGACAAAAGGGTGGGTCAGAGAGGACAAAAGGGTGGCTCAGAGAGGACAAAAGGGTGGCTCAGAGAGGACAAAAGGGTGGCTCAGAGAGGACAAAGGGCGGCTCAGAGAGGACAAAAGGGTGGCTCAGAGAGGATAAAAGGGTGGTTCAGAGAGGACAAAAGGGTGACTCAGAGAGGACAAAAGGGTGGCTCAGAGAGAACAAAAGGGTGGCTCAGAGAGGACAAAAGGGTGGCTCAGAGAGGACAAAAGGGTGGCTCAGAGAGGACAAAAGGGTGGCTCAGAGAGGACAAAAGGGTGGGTCAGAGAGGACAAAAGGGTGGCTCAGAGAGGACAAAAGGGTGGTTCAGAGAGGACAAAAGGGTGGCTCAGAGAGGACAAAAGGGTGGCTCAGAGAGGACAAAAGGGCGGCTCAGAGAGGACAAAAGGGTGGCTCAGAGAGGACAAAAGGGTGGCTCAGAGAGGACAAAAGGGTGGCTCAGAGAGGACAAAAGGGTGGGTCAGAGAGGACAAAAGGGTGGGTCAGAGAGGACAAAAGGGTGGTTCAGAGAGGACAAAAGGGTGGCTCAGAGAGGACAAAAGGGTGGCTCAGAGAGGACAAAAGGGCGGCTCAGAGAGGACAAAAGGGTGGCTCTGAGAGGACAAAAGGGTGGCTCGGAGAGGACAAAAGGGTGGCTCGGAGAGGACAAAAGGGTGGGTCAGAGAGGACAAAAGGGTGGGTCAGAGAGGACAAAAGGGTGGGTCAGAGCGGACAAAAGGGTGGGTCAGAGAGGACAAAAGGGTGGCTCAGAGAGGACAAAAGGGTGGCTCAGAGAGGACAAAAGGGTGGGTCAGAGAGGACAAAAGGGTGGGTCAGAGAGGACAAAAGGGTGGGTCAGAGAGGACAAAAGGGTGGTTCAGAGAGGACAAAAGGGTGGCTCAGAGAGGACAAAAAGGTGGCTCAGAGAGGACAAAAGGGTGGCTCAGAGAGGACAAAAGGGCGGCTCAGAGAGGACAAAAGGGTGGCTCAGAGAGGACAAAAGGGTGGCTCAGAGAGGACAAAAGGGCGGCTCAGAGAGGACAAAAGGGTGGCTCATAGAGGACAAAAGGGCGGCTCAGAGAGGACAAAAGGGTGGCTCAGAGAGGACAAAAGGGTGGCTCAGAGAGGACAAAAGGGTGGCTCAGAGAGGACAAAAGGGTGGCTCAGAGAGGACAAAAGGGTGGCTCAGAGAGGACAAAACGGCGGCTCAGAGAGGACAAAAGGGTGGCTCAGAGAGGACAAAACGGCGGCTCAGAGAGGACAAAAGGGTGGCTCAGAGAGGACAAAAGGGTGGCTCAGAGAGGACAAAAGGGTGGGTCAGAGAGGACAAAAGGGTGGGTCAGAGAGGACAAAAGGGTGGTTCAGAGAGGACAAAAGGGTGGCTCAGAGAGGACAAAAGGGTGGCTCAGAGAGGACAAAAGGGCGGCTCAGAGAGGACAAAAGGGTGGCTCTGAGAGGACAAAAGGGTGGCTCAGAGAGGACAAAAGGGTGGCTCGGAGAGGACAAAAGGGTGGGTCAGAGAGGACAAAAGGGTGGGTCAGAGAGGACAAAAGGGTGGGTCAGAGAGGACAAAAGGGTGGGTCAGAGAGGACAAAAGGGTGGCTCAGAGAGGACAAAAGGGTGGCTCAGAGAGGACAAAAGGGTGGGTCAGAGAGGACAAAAGGGTGGGTCAGAGAGGACAAAAGGGTGGGTCAGAGAGGACAAAAGGGTGGTTCAGAGAGGACAAAAGGGTGGCTCAGAGAGGACAAAAGGGTGGCTCAGAGAGGACAAAAGGGTGGCTCAGAGAGGACAAAAGGGCGGCTCAGAGAGGACAAAAGGGTGGCTCAGAGAGGACAAAAGGGTGGCTCAGAGAGGACAAAAGGGTGGCTCAGAGAGGACAAAAGGGTGGCTCGGAGAGGACAAAAGGGTGGCTCAGAGAGGACAAAAGGGTGGCTCAGAGAGGACAGAAGGGTGGCTCAGAGAGGACAAAAGGGTGGCTCAGAGAGGATAAAAGGGTGGCTCAGAGAGGACAAAAGGGCGGCTCAGAGAGGACAAAAGGGTGGCTCAGAGAGGACAAAAGGGTGGCTCAGAGAGGACAAAAGGGTGGCTCAGAGAGGACAAAAGGGTGGCTCAGAGAGGACAAAAGGGTGGCTCAGAGAGGACAAAAGGGCGGCTCAGAGAGGACAAAAGGGTGGCTCAGAGAGGACAAAAGGGCGGCTCAGAGAGGACAAAAGGGTGGCTCAGAGAGGACAAAAGGGTGGCTCAGAGAGGACAAAAGGGTGGCTCAGAGAGGACAAAAGGGTGGGTCAGAGAGGACAAAAGGGTGGGTCAGAGAGGACAAAAGGGTGGTTCAGAGAGGACAAAAGGGTGGCTCAGAGAGGACAAAAGGGTGGCTCAGAGAGGACAAAAGGGCGGCTCAGAGAGGACAAAAGGGTGGCTCTGAGAGGACAAAAGGGTGGTTCAGAGAGGACAAAAGGGTGACTCAGAGAGGACAAAAGGGTGGCTCAGAGAGGACAAAAGGGTGGCTCAGAGAGGACAAAAGGGTGGCTCAGAGAGGACAAAAGGGTGGCTCAGAGAGGACAAAAGGGTGGCTCAGAGAGGACAAAAGGGTGGCTCAGAGAGGACAAAAGGGTGGCTCAGAGAGGACAAAAGGGTGGCTCAGAGAGGACAAAAGGGTGGGTCAGAGAGGACAAAAGGGTGGTTCAGAGAGGACAAAAGGGTGGCTCAGAGAGGACAAAAGGGTGGCTCAGAGAGGACAAAAGGGCGGCTCAGAGAGGACAAAAGGGTGGCTCAGAGAGGATAAAAGGGTGGTTCAGAGAGGACAAAAGGGTGACTCAGAGAGGACAAAAGGGTGGCTCAGAGAGGACAAAAGGGTGGCTCAGAGAGGACAAAAGGGTGGCTCAGAGAGGACAAAAGGGTGGCTCAGAGAGGACAAAAGGGTGGGTCAGAGAGGACAAAAGGGTGGGTCAGAGAGGACAAAAGGGTGGCTCAGAGAGGACAAAAGGGTGGTTCAGAGAGGACAAAAGGGTGGCTCAGAGAGGACAAAAGGGTGGCTCAGAGAGGACAAAAGGGCGGCTCAGAGAGGACAAAAGGGTGGCTCAGAGAGGACAAAAGGGTGGTTCAGAGAGGACAAAAGGGTGACTCAGAGAGGACAAAAGGGTGGCTCAGAGAGGACAAAAGGGTGGCTCAGAGAGGACAAAAGGGTGGCTCCGAGAGGACAAAAGGGTGACTCAGAGAGGACAAAAGGGTGGCTCAGAGAGGACAAAAGGGTGGCTCAGAGAGGACAAAAGGGTGGGGCAGAGAGGACCAAAGGGTGGGTCAGAGAGGACAAAAGGGTGGGGCAGAGAGGAGGACGGGGCCAGGGAGGGATGAACGGGGTGAGAGTGGTGAGGGGTGAGAGAGAGCTTTCCGTTACCCACAACCCTCCCCAATTCAAACTTTTCCTCATTGTCTCCCGTCCCCCACATCGCTCTCCCCCCCCACCTCTAGCTGCAGCCGCACTGAGTCCGTGCCAATCCCCCCCCGACCACCACCTGCCTTCCCCGCCCCCTCTCCTCCTGCTCCCCCCTCCCCCTCCCCCTCCCCCGCCCCCGCCCCCTCTCCTCCTGCTCCCCCCTCCCCCTCCCCCTCCCCCGCGCCCCTCCCCTCCCCCAGCGCTGCCTGCCTCTCCGCCTCCTCTGCTGCCAGCCGAGCCAGGCGCCTTCGATTCGCCAGCTGGCAGCTGGTGGGGTTGTGCGGGAAGGAGTAGAAGAGGGAGTTGAGGGGGGAGGTAGGGGGAGGAGGGGAGGTAGGGGGAGGAGGGTAGGGGAGGAGGGAGAGGGGCGATGGGGTGTGTAAGGGAGGAGAGAAATGAGGTGCTGAGAGGATAGGGCACCGGATGGCATGAGAGGTGGTGACAAAATTAGGACGTGTGTGGGGAGGAGTCTCACTATCCCTCCTCCGTGCTCCCACAACCAACCCCCCCCCTCTCCGTGCTCGCACAACCAACCCCCCCCCCTCTGCAAGCACGCCATGTGTGTGAAGTGCACTGACGCGATGCCGCGTGGCAGGCGCAGCTTGAGCCCGCGGTACAGCCCCTCCTTGCCCTCCCTCGCCTGCTCGCCCAGCAGCGCCTTCAGCTGCCGCATCCACGGCCGCCACCACGGGTGCGCCGCCCGGAAGGCCGACAGAATCTGATGCGCGGGCAGGGGGCGGGTGAAAGGGGTGTTAGACGAGGGATGAAGAAGGCGAGTCCTACTCGCTCTCTCCACTCCCCACTCCCACAGGATCTCTCCTTGGATAAGCTGCTCTGCTGCGCTCCGCAAATACTAGGAGTGAAGCACCCATCCAACCTGACACCATGCACTCCCTTGCGCTGCTCATGCCACCATGCACTCCCTTGCGCTGCTCAGGCGAGCTCAACCCACCCGCTCGTTCTTGTCGATTGCCCACATAGACTGGGACACCATGGGCAGCGCAACTTCCAGGAACTTGCTGGCGTTGTCAGCCTTGTCCCACAGGTACGCCCTGGCCAGTCGCACCTCCACCAGCTTCCACCACGCCGCCCCGCCCCTCCTCCCCCCCGCCCCCTCGCCCGCCCCATCCACTGCAGCGGAAGCCCCCCCCTGCGATCCTCCCTGTGCTGCCTCTGCCCCTTCCTGCTGCCCCTCGCCCCCCCCCTGCTCGCCCTCCCCCGGCCCCTCCAGCACCGCCGCTGCCTCTGGCAGGCGACCCGCGAGGGCGAGCGCAGAGGAGAGGTGCAGACGGGGGTGGGGCAGGCAGGGCAGGCACGCCACCACTGGGGGGAGAGGAGGGGAGCGCAAGGGAGGAAGAATAGAAGAGCGGAGAGCATGTGTTAGGGAGAGAAGCGGGGAGAGTGGAAGGAAAGTGAAAGGGTCGAAGGAGGTGAGGCTTGGTGAAGAGAGGTGATGAACGGTGGCAGGTGCAGGTGAGGCGAGACGGTGATGGAGGAGGAGACACATGGGCGGCGGGGAAGAGGAAGTGCAGGTGCATGGTGGCGGGGAGGATGGGAGAGAGTGGTGCGAGCAACGAGAGAGCGGGGATGGAAGGTGGCAGTGAATCAGTAGAGAGTAGTGTAGGAGGGAAGAGAGTGTGAAGGAGGGAAGAGAGTGTAAAGGAGGGAAAAGAGTGTAAAGGAGGGAAGAGAGTGTAAAGGAGGGAAGAGAGTGGAAAGGAGGGAAGAGAGTGTAGAGGAGGGAAGCGAGTGTAGGAGGGAAGAGGGAGGGGGAAGGCAGAGGATGGAGAGGGAAAGGGCCAAGCAGGGGTGCGTGCCAGGTGGGTACCCGCTGCATGACAAGACGGAACCCACTTGCCAGCTTTACTGTTTGGAAGCGCGACCCATCAAGACGGACGAAGCGCCAAGCAATGTTGTGTGCAATGTCTGAATCTTTGTACTAGGTTTCTTACGAGACACGGAACTGTTAGGTACAAGTAGTGGTTGCTAGGTAGTGGACAAGTTTAGTCGGATTCGGAAACGCCGATGAAGGCCTAAAAAGCCGAAACGCGTGTACGTTTTCTGAACCACTTGTATGTTACCGATTAATACTACTACACTAACCTACATACAGGTTCTCGCCTATTATTCAGTGATATTAGTCAGGTCGGTCGAACCGAGCTTGCAGCTTTCTACCCGTTTTCTTAGTTTGAGAGCACACACAGACGCAAACGCATGCACAGGAGCTGAAGAAAGCTGCAGATAGATGCAGACACTTGTGTATGTATGCGCATGCCCCTTTTTCGCTCCACACACACACAAATGGGACAAAAATACATGCACAGTCCACCCCTCTCCTCCCCGACACCAACACTGGAAGAAGGACACGCACACACCTCCTCCCCCCAACACACACAGAACCCACCCACCCCTCCCAGACATCAGCCTCCACCGCCCACAGCACACGCGCACCTCGGTGCAGAATGAGCAGGGCGTCATCCACGCGCCCAGCAGCAGCACACGCCGCTCCCAGCTTCACCCACACCGCCGCCCGCCCCTCCACCTCCTGCCATAACGCCTCCGCCCCTCCCCCTTGCCCCTCTGACGCTGTCGCTGCCCCACCGGCCTCTGAAGCAGCAGCACCCCCGAGATCCCGAGCAGCAGCATCTGCAGCGGCGGCAGCAGCAGCAGCGAGGGCCACGTCGTCCCAGTGGCAGCAGAGCGGGCGGTAGAAGCGGACGGCATCTGCCGCCCGGCCGACAGCCATGAAGGCATCGCCTGCCTCTGTGAAGAGGTCTGCACAGTCCCCTGCACTCTCCTGCTCCAATGCCTGCAGGTACGGCTGCAAGGAGGGAGGGGCGAGTGGTGGAGGAGGGGAGGGGGGAGAAAGGGGGGTGTTTGTTGCAAGGAAGTAAACGAAATCTGAATACGATCACCTAATGGCACTGGGTGTGCATCAGGAGAATCCAATCGCACAAGTTCCGCCTCTCCTGTGCATTTGTGAGTCATGAATCATGGTAGAATGAACAAGCAGGGAGAAGAAGGGTTTCCTGCGCCTTGCAGCCCGGAGCCGAGTTCCACGTGGTTTACACAGAAGCGGCGAAGCAACAGCGGGAAAGGCAGGCCATTCTCCCGAGCTTGTGGAAACACTGCTCCACCTCACCTGTGCGTCTGTGACTCGGCCCCGGCACACGAGGCACACGCCTGCCTCGGCACCCAGGTCAACCGGCAGGGCAGAGCAGAGGGCAGAGCACAGGGCAGAGCACAGGGCAGAGCAGAGGGCAGAGCACAGGGCAGAGCAGAGGGTTCACCTGAGCGTCTGTGAGGCGGCCCAGGCGCACGAGGCACGTGCCCGCCTTGGCGCCCAGGTCCACCGGCAGGGCCTCCCCAGGACACAGCGACGCCCGCGCTCGCTCCACCACACCCAGCGCTTCCAGGAAGCTTCCCTTGGTCATGTAGAGCTCGGCGAGAATGTTTACAGCCGTGAGATCGAGCGGGGCGGCGGGGGTGGAGGAGGAGGAGAGGAGGGACTGGAGGACCTCGATGGCCTTGTCTGATTGGTCGATGCGGTGATACATCTGGGGGAGGGAGGAGAGAGGAGGGTGGGCAAGGCAAGGTGCCCTGAGCCTGTTGCAGTGATGGCATGGGTGTGACTCGTGAGGACACATTGCATCACGGGCCCAGCACAAGATGCCTCCGCCATCTGCTTCCAACTCCCAGCCACGCCATACCGTGTCCACCATCCACCCCACACAATCCCATGCCACACCAAGTCCTGCAATGCCACACCTCACCACTCCATGCACTTAACCGCCCTTCCATCTCACCCGCGCCAGCATCTTGCAGACCTCCCCATCTGTCTCCCGCTGCCCGTCCGCCTCCCTGTGTGCGCGCATGAGCTCCAGTGCCGCCGCGGCCCGCCGGTAGTCCCCTGCCTCCGCCAGCAGCAGCGCCTGCTCCCACCTCGCCTCCACGTCCGATGGGTCCCGCCGCACCACCTGGTGGGGACGGCACGGGGAGGAGCGGTTGAGTGGGAAGAGCGGATGAAAGACGAGGCAAGTGGACGGCAACGATTGATCCACCTCGCAGCAGCAACGCCTGGCCGTGCCTTGCCTCCACGCCCAAGTGGGGGCGAGGTGCTGTGTGCAGGAGGGATGGGGGGAGCGAGATGCGGTTGAAGGGGAGCGGAGGGGAGGAGAGCGGCAGGGGTGTGCGGCAGTGCCCGTGGCAGCATGAGACGGCCTGGGCAGTGCAGTAAGGTGCGGGAGGTAGGCGTCAGGGCAAGGTGCAGTGGCCGAGAAGGGAGAGAAGAGAAGTGCGGTTGGAGAAAAGAAATGTGGATGGAGAAGAAAAGGGCGAAAAGGAAGTACTGAGGGGGAAGTACCTTGGAGAGGCAGTAGAGTGACTGAGAGGGGTTGCCCAGTTCCCTGCAGCACACAGGAGGGCGCATGAGAGGTGGGAGAGGGGTACAGGAATCAATCGTGGTTGGCTGAGGGCCAATCACAGGAACTATCTTCAGATACTTTCTTGTCACTAGGCAATCAAGCACCCACCAGAAACTCACTATTAGCTAGCTGCCCCTCTTGCCTATCCCCCTTTTGCACTCCAAGCCATCCCCAAGCATGCTCTCTGCTCCCCTACCCCACCTCTCTCTTCTTACAGTGACCAGGCAGCGAGGCGGCGCCAGAGCGCGGTGTCCTGAGGGGTGATGTGCGCGGCGATCATGCTCAGGTTCACGGCCTTCTTCCTATCCCCCATTGCGTCGTACACGAGCGCCAGCGTCTGGTAGCTGTCGGGCACCGCAGGGGCCTCCCGTATCACTGCCTCCAGCAGCGGAATGGCCTGGCGGGGAGGGGCAGGATGGGAAATGCAGTGGCTTGTGCACATCAGCAGTGCCACTGCAGTCTAGTGGAATGTAATGTGGGCTCTGCTTAACTCTTTCACTCTCCTCCACCTCGCTGCACCACTCCTAATCTTGCTGCACCGCTCCTAACCTCGCTGCACCGCTCCTAACCTCTCTGCACTGCTCACCACCTCGCTGCACCGCTGCTCACCTGGCTGCACCGCTGCTCAACTGGCTGCACCGCTGCTCACCTGGCTGCACCGCTGCTCACCTCACTGTAGCGCCCCATGGCGTACATGAGGTTGGCATCGCCTAGCCGAGCCACCACCTCAGGAGACAGGCGTGAAGTCCCCTTAGGACGGCCCCGTTTGCACAGCTGCCAGGGAGAGATGTGGAGGGGTGATGATGATGTGACGAGAGAATGGAAGAAATTACAAGCACGGGGGAGAAGGGCGAGAGGGCGTGGGGAGAGCGTGGGGAGAGCGTGGGGAGAGCGTGGGGAGAGCGTGAGGAGAGCGTGGAGAGAGTGTGGGGAGAGCACGGGGAGAGAATGGGGAGAGCATGGGGAGAGCTCGGGGAGAGCACTGGGAAAGCGTGGGGAGAGCGTGGGAATGGACGGACCATCTTCCTTCGCTTGCGAGACGGCGCCGTAGCGGCCTCCCAGATCTCGTCAATGCTAGCTCCAAACAACGCTGCCCGCGCCACCCCTCCACTGCCTCCTCCCCCCTCGTCGCTGCTGTCCCCACTGCCCTCCTGTGTGCGGCAGCGCCTGCATGGAGAACAGGAGGAGGCGGGGAGCGAGGGCGGGAGGGGGGAGGAGTGAGGACGGGAGGGGGGAGGAGCGAGGGCGGGAGGGGGGAGGAGCGAGGGCGGGAGGGGGGAGGAGTGAGGACGGGAGGGGGGAGGAGCGAGGGCGGGAGGGGGGAGGAGTGAGGACGGGAGGGGGGAGGAGGGAGGACGGGAGGGGGGAGGAGCGAGGGCGGGAGGGGGGAGGAGTGACGGCGGGAGGGGGGAGGAGGGAGGACGGGAGGGGGGAGGAGCGAGGGCGGGAGGGGGGAGGAGTGAGGGCAGGAGGGGGGAGGAGTGAGGAGGGGAGGGGGGAGGAGCGAGGGCGGGAGGGGGGAGGAGGGAGGACGGGAGGGGGGAGGAGCGAGGGCGGGAGGGGGGAGGAGTGAGGGCGGGAGGGGGGAGGAGTGAGGACGGGAGGGGGGAGGAGCGAGGGCGGGAGGGGGGAGGAGCAAGGGCGGGAGGGGGGAGGAGGGAGGACGGGAGGGGGGAGGAGCGAGGGCGGGAGGGGGGAGGAGCGAGGGCGGGAGGGGGGAGGAGTGAGGACGGGAGGGGGGAGGAGCGAGGGCGGGAGGGGGGAGGAGTGAGGGCGGGAGGGGGGAGGAGTGAGGACGGGAGGGGGGAGGAGCGAGGGCGGGAGGGGGGAGGAGGGAGGACGGGAGGGGGGAGGAGCGAGGGCGGGAGGGGGGAGGAGTGAGGGCGGGAGGGGGGAGGAGTGAGGACGGGAGGGGGGAGGAGCGAGGGCGGGAGGGGGGAGGAGCAAGGGCGGGAGGGGGGAGGAGTGAGGACGGGAGGGGGGAGGAGCGAGGGCGGGAGGGGGGAGGAGTGAGGGCGGGAGGGGGGAGGAGTGAGGACGGGAGGGAGGAGGAGCGAGGGCGGGAGGGGGGAGGAGTGAGGACGGGAGGGGGGAGGAGCGAGGGCGGGAGGGGGGAGGAGCGAGGGCGGGAGGGGGGAGGAGTGAGGACGGGAGGGGGGAGGAGCGAGGGCGGGAGGGGGGAGGAGGGAGGACGGGAGGGGGGAGGAGCGAGGGCGGGAGGGGGGAGGAGTGAGGGCGGGAGGGGGAGGAGTGAGGACGGGAGGGGGAGGAGCGAGGGCGGGAGGGGGGAGGAGCAAGGGCGGGAGGGGGGAGGAGTGAGGACGGGAGGGGGGAGGAGCGAGGGCGGGAGGGGGGAGGAGCGAGGGCAGGAGGGGGGAGGAGTGAGGACGGGAGGGGGGAGGAGTGAGGACGGGAGGGGGGAGGAGCGAGGGCGGGAGGGGGGAGGAGTGAGGGCGGGAGGGGGGAGGAGTGAGGACGGGAGGGGGGAGGAGCGAGGGCGGGAGGGGGGAGGTGTGAGGACGGGAGGGGGGAGGAGCGAGGGCGGGAGGGGGGAGGAGTGAGGACGGGAGGGGGAGGAGCGAGGGCGGGAGGGGGGAGGAGTGAGGACGGGAGGGGGAAGGAGCGAGGGCGGGAGGGGGGAGGAGCGAGGACGGGAGGGGGGAGGAGCGAGGGCGGGAGGGGGGACGAGGGAGGACGGGAGGGGGGAGGAGCGAGGGCGAGAGGGGGGAGGAGTGAGGACGGGAGGGGGGAGGAGTGAGGACGGGAGGGGGGAGGAGCGAGGGCGGGAGGGGGGAGGAGTGAGGGCGGGAGGGGGGAGGAGTGAGGACGGGAGGGGGGAGGAGCGAGGGCGGGAGGGGGGAGGTGTGAGGACGGGAGGGGGAGGAGCGAGGGCGGGAGGGGGGAGGAGTGAGGACGGGAGGGGGGAGGAGCGAGGGCGGGAGGGGGGAGGAGTGAGGACGGGAGGGGGAAGGAGCGAGGGCGGGAGGGGGGAGGAGCGAGGACGGGAGGGGGGAGGAGCGAGGGCAGGAGGGGGGACGAGGGAGGACGGGAGGGGGGAGGAGCGAGGGCGAGAGGGGGGAGGAGTGAGGACGGGAGGGGGGAGGAGCGAGGACGGGAGGGGGGAGGAGCGAGGGCGGGAGGGGGGAGGAGCGAGGACGGGAGGGGGAAGGAGCGAGGGCGGGAGGGGGGAGGAGCGAGGGCGGGAGGGGGGAGGAGTGAGGACGGGAGGGGGGAGGAGCGAGGGCGGGAGGGGGGAGGAGCGAGGGCAGGAGGAGGGAGGAGTGAGGACGGGAGGGGGGAGGAGCGAGGGCGGGAGGGGGGAGGAGTGAGGACAGGAGGGGGGAGGAGGGAGGACGGGAGGGGGGAGGAGCGAGGGCGGGAGGGGGGAGGAGTGAGGACGGGAGGGGGGAGGAGGGAGGACGGGAGGGGGGAGGAGTGAGGGCGGGAGGGGGGAGGAGTGAGGACGGGAGGGGGGAGGAGCGAGGGCGGGAGGGGGGAGGAGCAAGGGCGGGAGGGGGGAGGAGTGAGGACGGGAGGGGGGAGGAGCGAGGGCGGGAGGGGGGAGGAGCGAGGGCAGGAGGGGGGAGGAGTGAGGGCGGGAGGGGGGAGGAGCGAGGGCGGGAGGGGGGAGGAGTGAGGACGGGAGGGGGGAGGAGCGAGGGCGGGAGGGGGGAGGAGTGAGGGCGGGAGGGGGGAGGAGTGAGGACGGGAGGGGGGAGGAGCGAGGGCGGGAGGGGGGAGGAGTGAGGACGGGAGGGGGGAGGAGCGAGGGCGGGAGGGGGGAGGAGTGAGGACGGGTGGGGGAAGGAGCAAGGGCGGGAGGGGGGAGGAGCGAGGACGGGAGGGGGGAGGAGCGAGGACGGGAGGGGGGTTGAGCGAGGGCGGGAGGGGGGACGAGGGAGGACGGGAGGGGGGAGGAGCGAGGGCGAGAGGGGGGAGGAGTGAGGACGGGAGGGGGAAGGAGCGAGGGCGGGAGGGGGGAGGAGCGAGGGCGGGAGGGGGGAGGAGCAAGGGCGGGAGGGGGGAGGAGTGAGGACGGGAGGGGGGAGGAGCGAGGGCGGGAGGGGGGAGGAGCGAGGGCGGGAGGGGGGAGGAGTGAGGACGGGAGGGGGGAGGAGCGAGGGCGGGAGGGGGGAGGAGTCAGGACGGGAGGGGGGAGGAGCGAGGGCGGGAGGGGGGAGGAGTCAGGACGGGAGGGGGGAGGAGCGAGGGCGGGAGGGGGGAGGAGTGAGGACGGGAGGGGGGAGGAGCGAGGGCGGGAGGGGGGAGGAGTGAGGACGGGAGGGGGGAGGAGCGAGGGCGGGAGGGGGGAGGAGCAAGGGCGGGAGGGGGGAGGAGTGAGGACGGGAGGGGGGAGGAGCGAGGGCGGGAGGGGGGAGGAGCGAGGGCGGGAGGGGGGAGGAGTGAGGACGGGAGGGGGGAGGAGCGAGGGCGGGAGGGGGGAGGAGTGAGGACGGGAGGGGGGAGGAGGGAGGACGGGAGGGGGGAGGAGCGAGGGCGGGAGGGGGGAGGAGCGAGGGCAGGAGGGGGGAGGAGTGAGGACGGGAGGGGGGAGGAGCGAGGGCGGGAGGGGGGAGGAGCGAGGGCGGGAGGGGGGAGGAGTGAGGACGGGAGGGGGGAGGAGCGAGGGCGGGAGGGGGGAGGAGTGAGGACGGGAGGGGGGAGGAGCGAGGGCGGGAGGGGGGAGGAGCGAGGACGGGAGGGGGAAGGAGCGAGGGCGGGAGGGGGGAGGAGCGAGGGCGGGAGGGGGGAGGAGTGAGGACGGGAGGGGGGAGGAGCGAGGGCGGGAGGGGGGAGGAGCGAGGGCGGGAGGGGGGAGGAGTGAGGACGGGAGGGGGGAGGAGCGAGGGCGGGAGGGGGGAGGAGTGAGGACGGGAGGGGGGAGGAGCGAGGGCGGGAGGGGGGAGGAGTGAGGACGGGAGGGGGGAGGAGCGAGGGCGGGAGGGGGGAGGAGCAAGGGCGGGAGGGGGGAGGAGTGAGGACGGGAGGGGGGAGGAGCGAGGGCGGGAGGGGGGAGGAGCGAGGGCATGAGGGGGGAGGAGTGAGGACGGGAGGGGGGAGGAGGGAGGACGGGAGGGGGGAGGAGCGAGGGCGGGAGGGGGGAGGAGTGAGGGCGGGAGGGGGGAGGAGTGAGGACGGGAGGGGGGAGGAGCGAGGGCGGGAGGGGGGAGGAGTGAAGACGGGAGGGGGGAGGAGCGAGGGCGGGAGGGGGGAGGAGTGAGGACGGGAGGGGGGAGGAGCGAGGGCGGGAGGGGGGAGGAGTGAGGACGGGAGGGGGAAGGAGCGAGGGCGGGAGGGGGGAGGAGTGAGGACGGGAGGGGGGAGGAGCGAGGACGGGAGGGGGGAGGAGCGAGGGCGGGAGGGGGGACGAGGGAGGACGGGAGGGGGGAGGAGCGAGGGCGAGAGGGGGGAGGAGTTAGGACGGGAGGGGGAGGAGCGAGGACGGGAGGGGGAGGAGCGAGGACGGGAGGGGGAAGGAGCGAGGGTGGGAGGGGGGAGGAGCGAGGGCGGGAGGGGGGAGGAGTGAGGACGGGAGGGGGAAGGAGCGAGGGCGGGAGGGGGGAGGAGCGAGGGCGGGAGGGGGGAGGAGTGAGGACGGGAGGGGGGAGGAGCGAGGGCGGGAGGGGGGAGGAGTGAGGACGGGAGGGGGGAGGAGCTAGGGCGGGAGGGGGGAGGAGTGAGGACGGGAGGGGGGAGGAGCGAGGGCGGGAGGGGGGAGGAGTGAGGACGGGAGGGGGGAGGAGCGAGGACGGGAGGGGGGAGGAGCGAGGGCGGGAGGGGGGAGGAGTGAGGGCGGGAGGGGGGAGGAGCGAGGGCGGGAGGGGGGAGGAGCGAGGGCGGGAGGGGGGAGGAGCGAGGTTGGGAGGGGGGAGGAGCGAGGACGGGAGGGGGAGGAGCGAGGGCGGGAGGGGGGAGGAGCGAGGGCGGGAGGGGGGAGGAGTGAGGGCGGGAGGGGGGAGGAGTGAGGACGGGAGGGGGGAGGAGCGAGGGCGGGAGGGGGGAGGAGTGAGGACGGGAGGGGGGAGGAGCGAGGGCGGGAGGGGGGAGGAGCGAGGTCAGGAGTGGGGAGAGGCGAGCAATGGGAGGGGAGGGGGGAGGAGTGAGGGGCGGGAGGGGGGGGGACGAGGAATGGAACGGGGGCGGAGATTGGAGAGTGGAGTGCAGAGAAGAGATGTTGATAAGAAGAGAGGGGGAGAGGAGAGAGGAAAGAGGGAGGACGAATGTGGAGAGGGCAGGGGGAAAGCGAAAGCAACATGGGGAGGGAGGGAGTGGGGAGGGGAGACACAGGAATTAGAAGTGGAAGATGAGAGGAGGTTTTTAAGGGTTTAAGTAAGAGGAACGGATAGGCCACAGACAAGCGGCCCACACACCTTCTCCGCAGCAGCCGCTCCTCTCCCTCCTCGCCCCCGTCCCCCCGCCCTGGAGTGCCCCCCACGGTCCCCCCTCCCCCGTCGCCCCCTGCACCGCGCCCCCAGTGGGAGAGGGTCTCCAGTGCCAGAGCGGGGTTGCGGTGGGCCGCTGATAGCGACGCCGCTGCCGCAGCGCCGCCAGCCATCCATGCGCCCAGCGCACCGCCCTCCCCCTCCTCCTCCTCGCCCTCGCCTGCACTGCCACGCTTCCCTCCCCTTCCCCTGCCCCTCCCTCTCCCCCGCCCCCTCCCCATCCCTCTGCCCCTCCCTCTGCCCCTCCCCCTGCCTCTCCCCCGTCCCCTCCCTGCACCCACTTTATCCCACTGCCCCTCCCCGACCTCCTCGCCCCCCTCCCCTTCCGCAGCACCACCTGCATCCCCACTGCTCTCCCCTCGACCCGTCCCCTTCCCCCTCCCCCTCCCTCTGCCTCTTCCTCTTCCCCTCCCCCTGCCCCTCCCGCTTTCCTTGCCGCCACCTGTCTCCCCTTCTCCTCCACTTCCCCTCGGCCTTCCCCTCCCTCTGCCCCTTCCTTCACCCCTCCCCCCCCCCTCCCCCCTCCCCCCTCCCCCTTCCCCTTCCCCGCCCTCTTCCGTGTCCCCGTCCCATCACATCGCCTTCCAGTCTCTCCTCGCTCATCCCCTCCCCTCCCCCCTCTGCTGCTGGCCCCCCCTCGCTCCACGCCTGCGCGCCTGCACCATCGCGCCGTTGCAACTCCTCCCCGCGCCCCTGCTGTGGCCCGCTCTCCTCGCCCTCCCCGCTCTCCTCGCCCTCCGAGTCCCCCTGCCCGCTGCTCGACTCCGGCGCCCAGTCTGAGTCCTCCCCTTCCTCCTCATCCGTTTCTTTCCCCTCTTCCTCCTCATCCTCTTCGTCTTCCTCCTCCTCGTCCTCCTCATTTCTCCTCTCGTCCTTCTCACCCGCCTCCTCACCCTGCTCACCCTGCTCACCCTCCTCACCCGGCTCGCCCGGCTCGCCGCGGTCATCGTCATCTTCTCGTACGGCACCTGTCTCGTCGCCCTCCAATTCCTCTTCTTCATCCTCTTCCTCCTCCCCTTCTTCCTCTTCCTCCTCGTACGCGATATTGTCAGCCTCGTCATCGATCACCTCCTCCACGTCAGCCACTTCTTCCAAATCCCCTTCCTCCATCGCCCCCATGTCCCCCCCCTCCCCCTCACGCTCTCCCTCTCCCTCACGCTCTCCCTCTCCCTCCTGGTCCATCGCCACGTCATCAACGTGCCACGCGTCAAGCAGGCCGGTGTCGTCGCCGTCCTCGTCGATGCGTGTGGGGCCCACACCCCCCCAACCCCCCACACTCGCCATCCCGCCTGCGCTTGCGCGCATGCGCCACTCCCCCGAGCGGCCCTCTGTCGCTGCGCGAGAACTCCCCGCAGCTCGTCTCATGCCGTGCGGTGGCCGCGATTCAGCGCGAGTGCCGCAGGGTTACTGCGGAAGAAGTGGACGCGTGGATGGCACGGCAGCGCAAGACGCTTTCAGTGACACAAGGGAATTTCAGCTACGCGCGTTGTTCGTTGGTAACACTGGCAGCGTGACATGGTACACACAACATCATGACATCATGTTTGAACGAACACAGGTTCCGCAGAGCGGATGTCCTGCATCCTTGTACGAACGTGAGAGGACATCGTACGCGGAAAGAGCAACCTCTTTTAATCGCTCCGGGACACAGAAATCAATCCCGTTCTGTAGCGCTGCATGTATATCAGTGTTAATATATTTTGAGACCTAACCTAAACCATTAAAATTTCTAGACATTGCTGATTTTCAGCCCTGTTTTTCACAATGAGAATATCCCTGACATCTCTACTTTCTCCCAGAAATGCAATATCAAGAAAAAGAGAGGGGTGAATGCTCAATCAGTTTGAGCAATGACAAGAGGGTCTTGGGTAGGCAGCTGCACCCACACAAACTCCTCCACATACCCCATGCTCTGCTCCTGCAAGCCCCCCCGCTGACCTGCTACCTCACAGCCTTTCACGTCCCCACTGCCTGCATCTCTGCTGCCCGCTGCACTGCTGCTTCCCTCTGCACTTGCCCCCACTGCTGTTGCTTCAACTCCTGAATCCACACTTCTTGGAACAGCGACACTGCTCTGCTGTGCGGTGCTGAGCGGTGAAGAGCGGCAGCAGGAGTTGGGGCAGACGTAGACTGCCAGTGTGGCGAAGTCGAGCGCTGAGTCAGCAGTGGCGTCAGGCGCACTGTAGTAGATGATTTGCGGGAGCACCTGGAGGGGAGACGGGAAGAGGGAAGAGGGGAAGCAATGGAAGTGTTTTGAGGCGTGTCGGAGTGCAGGAGCGGCATGGCTTGCCCCATGGGTGGCGTGGCTTGGGGGCGTGCATGGCGTGAGGGATGTGGGTGGGCAGGACGGAAGGCAGGCGGAACAGGGTACCCGGAAGGGAAGGGGGAGGTGAGTGCAAGAGCACGAATGGAGTGGAGAGGAGAGGCTGCGCGTGCATGAGCAGCCAGTTCAGGATGACCGACGGTGATTGCAGGCTGGTGGGCAGGTGTGGGGTGAGTGGGCCAGTGAGTGTCCCCGCTTCACTCCCGTTCAGCATCAGGGTGGTGCAGCAACGGCATTGAAGGAACCCCATGGTGGAAGGGGCGGAGCAAAAGACTTCCCTGATTTCAGACACTTCCACCTGAACGCACTGGGGCAACCCACCTGAGAATCCACCTGAGCGCACCTGGAACTCGAATATCCTGGGAGCACCACAGCCGCCACAGGGGGGAATGGCAGCCTGGCTGGGCGGCTGCCCCTGCAGCTGCGGCCACAGCGGACGGGCGGTGGCTGATCGGCAGTATCTGAGTGGGGGCGATATGGGAAGGAGGACAGAAGAAAGTAGAGAGGAGAGGGGAGGGGAAGGGAAGGGAGGAGGGAGGGGGAGGATGGGTGAAAGCAAGGGTGTGGACAGGTGTGTGTGTGTGTGTATGACGGAGGTTCTGCGTTTGAGGTGGGGGGGGGGGGGGGGGGTGAAACGTTGTGTGTGTGATGGGTCTATTTCGAATTTGAAAGGAGCCGCTTCAAATCACCTTAGTGCCTTGGCAATCACCTGATCACTTGTTCAGGTGCCTTGGCAATCACCTGATCACTTGTTCAGGTGCCTTGGCAATCACCTGATCACTTGTTCAGGGGCCTTGGCAATCACCTGATCACTTGTTCAGGTGCCTTGGCAATCACAGCCTGGAAAGCGGCCCATTGCTTCTTCTCTGCATCCGCCCCCTGAAATACCCACCATGCCATGCCACACCACACCATGCCACACCGCACCACACCATGCCAAACCACACCGAGAGGGCATTGAGGGGAAAGGGGCGCAACTTCGTTTGTATCCAATCAAGGAAGGAGGGGTGGCATTGGGGGGAGCAGAGGCTAGACGTGGGCGGGTAGGTGGGTGGGTGAGTGATTGGGTGGTTGGGTGGGCGGATGGGTAAGCAGGGATGTGAGGCACAGCGAGAAGGAAGCGGGAGTGCGACTCCTACTGGGAAGGCAGGGAGCCAAGGGGCGAGAGCGACACAGTCAGGCAGGGGAATGAAAGGCAAGGTCGCAATGCAGATCAAACTCGGCACTGATACTTGAGTCAATATTCAACTCACCGCGCCCACCCCATGCGCAAGCCCACCCCATGCCCACTCCATGCCCACGCCATGCCCACTCCATGCCCAGCCCATGCACACGGCCACCCCGTCCCCCACGCCACCCACGTCACAGGACCGCCTCACATCTCAGGACCGCCTCACATCTCAGGACCGCCTCACATCTCAGGACCGCCTCACATCTCTTGACAGCCCACCTGTCCTCTCTTGACAGCCCACCTGTCCTCTCTTGACAGCTCACATCTCCGAAGCCCTCCAGCTCGCTCGCAGCAATGGGCCCCTCCGCCCTGGTGCGCTCCCGATACTCCCTCATTAGCCGCCGCACCTCCGCCCCCCCGGCCCCCGCCCCAGGCCCCTTTTCCCCTTCACTCCCCCCCTCTCTCCCTGCCTCCTCTCTGTTCTCACCCTCCTCGCCCTCCTCACCCTCCTCTGGCTCCTCCTCCACCACCATCTCCCACTCCTTCCACCCTCCCCTGTCCAGCACCGTCACTCTCCAATCCGCTGCTGACACGTCATTCCCTGCGCCCCCTGCTGACTCAGCATCTGCTGACGCGGAAGGTATCCTCGCTGCTGACGTGTCGGTGCCGGGAGGATGGGACGGGGCAGAAGGAGCAGCGGCAACAGGCGGAGGAGTGTGAGGAGCAGAGGGGGCAGCGGTGGAGGGGGCAGCGGGTGGGGAGGTGGAAGAGGTGGGAGGAGGAGTGCGGGGGCAGGCAGCGCTGTGGCCCGCTCGCCAGTGCTCCTTCTGGTGCGCCCAGGGGCGTTTGGAAGGCGGTGAGCAAGTGTCGGGAGGATAGCGGGAGGGACACAAGGAGCGAACAGGGAAGAGAGGAAGATCAGTGCTCAAAGGTGTGGTGTGGTTTGAGTGAGGGCAGGGAGGTGTGGTGGAAGGGCAGGGAGGTGTGGTGGAAGGGCAGGGAGGTGTGGTGGTTTTAAAGAATTAAGTCAAGCCATCCAACTCCTCACCTCCCAATGGCAACGTGCAGGAATAGGGGAGAACGAATGGTGTGATGCTGTGATGGTTGTGAAGCAGGATGGGGGGAGGCACGACACGGCGGGCGAACCTGGTGGTCCTTGCTGCAGTGCGAACTTGGTGGTCCTTGCTGCAGTACGAACTTGGTGGTCCTTGCTGCAGTACGAACCTGGTGGTCCTTGCTCCAGTACGAACCTGGTGGTCCTTGCTGCAGTAGGCCACCTGCCTGCACCCCCCACAGCGCTTGCTGCCCCTCCACGTGCCACACCACGCGCACATGGGCACTGCGGGTGGAGAGAGGGAGGAAGGGACTTGAGCCACGAGGGGAGATGATGGGGAGGGGAGATGATGGGGAGGGGAGATGATGGGGAGGGCAGATGATGGGGAGGGCAGATGATGGGGAGGGCAGATGATGGGGAGGGCAGATGACCGGGATCATGGCTGAAGGTGAGCGTTGCTGCAGGGTTACTGGCGGGAGATGAGGGGGAGGGAGTGACCTTGGTGGGAGAGTGGTGTCCCAGGTGCATCCGGGGGGGGCGGGGTGAAGGCGTAGAAGGGGTTGGCGCGCGGCAGCTGGGTGCGCAGTGCACACACACTTTGGGCGGGCGATGATGGTGCATGGTCAGGGCATGGCGCATAGGGGGGACATGCACGCACACATTCCATGCAAACACACATTCCATGCAAACACACATTCCATGCAAACACACTTTTCATGCAAACACACATTCCATGCAAGCACACATTCCATGCAAGCACACATTTCATGCAAGCACACATTCCATGCAAACACACATTCCATGCAAACACACATTCCATGCAAACACACATTCCATGCAAACACACATTCCATGCAAACACACATTCCATGCAAACACACATTCCATGCAAACACACATTCCATGCAAACACACATTCCATGTGAACACACATGCAGATCACATTCGTATGGAAGCACGCATTCACTTTCACATGTACTTATGACGATAAACCACCGAGACACGTGCAGCACATAAGGCACATAAGGCAGGGCACCGTGAGAACCTAAAGAGGCGTTTCAAAACGACACGCCATCCTCCATGCCGCCATGCTGTCATGCTGCCATGCTGCCATGCCGCCATGCTGCCATGCTGCCATGCTCCCATGCTGCCATGCTCCCATGCTCCCATGCTGCCATGCTGCCATGCTCCCATGCTGCCATGCTGCCATGCTGCCATGCTCCCATGCTGACATGCTGTCACGGACACGCTTCCATTCCAACAACAGAAATTCCCTCACTCCCCGTTCCCCCAACTCCACCCGCTCACCTTCGTCTCCTTTCCCTTGCTCTGCCGTCGGCCACCTCTGCCTGCTGCTGCTCCTGGTGGTGGCGGGTGAGGCAGTGCGGGTGGCGGCAGGCGAAGAGGAAGAGCGTGCGGTGGAAGGCAGAGGGCTCGCTGTCCACTGGCGCGTACACCTGCACGGGGGAGAGGGGGGAGCGGTGCGCGCACAAGGAGTGTGAGTGAGATGAGGAGTGTGAGTGAGATGAGGAGTGAGTGAGATGAGGAGTGAGTGAGATGAGGAGTGAGTGAGATGAGGAGTGAGTGAGATGAGGAGTGAGTGAGATGAGGAGTGAGTGAGATGAGTAGTGAGTGAGATGAGGAGTGTGAGTGAGATGAGGAGTGAGTGAGATGAGTAGTGAGTGAGATGAGTAGTGTGAGTGAGATGCTGAGTGTGCGTGAGATGACAACTATGAGTGAGAGCTGTGTGAGTGAGGAGCAGCAAGGTGACCTGCAGCAGGAATCGCAGGGGCTGGGAGCAGAAGTGGCAGAGGAGGGCGTCTGACGGCACGTTGAGCGGGTCCAGGTACGCCTGGTGGAGGGGGGGGATGGGGGGCACAGCACAGGACATGCCAGCATAAGATGGACGGCATAAGATGGACAGCATAAGATGGACGGCATGAGATGGACGGCATGAGATGGGCGGCATGAGATGGACGGCATGAGATGGACGGCATGAGATGGACGGCATGAGATGGACGGCATGAGATGGACGGCATGAGATGGACGGCATGAGATGGACGGCATGAGATGGACGGCATGAGATGGACGGCATGAGATGTTGTCAGGATCCATACATGCCTCTCCATACACCATCGCATGCCTCTCCATCTGCCCATCACATGCCATCACATGACTCCACGTTGTATCACATGCCTCCACATGGCAAGGCATCCTTTCGCGTTGGATGGGCTGCAACCGAGAGGCAGGGAAGGCACGGAACGACCACGAGCGCGGACTGGAGCCAACAGGCCGAGCAAGGTGCGACAGGTGCTGCTGGCGCCGAGACACTGGGGCATGGGAGCACGCAGATCAGCGCGTACCACCAGCTCAAGCCTGGGATTGGTAGCACACGTGTCTTGGCGCACTCGCATCGTCACAACAGCGCCCTCATCGCATGCCGCCCACCTTTGCCGCCCATTTCTCATCCCATCTCGCTCATCACCCTCGCCTCACTCACCGGCGCGCCCCCGACTTTGCTCGGGAAGCGATGGCGTTCGAGCGACCAGTCGTGCGACGGCTTTTGCACGAACCCTAGCAGCACCACGTCGTCGCCACTGTCGCTCACGTCGTCGTCGTCGTCGCCTGCGACTTCCTCCTCCGCGCGTTCAGCGACTTGGTCATCAATGCCTTCCGCGCGGCTCTCTTCCTCCCCCCTGTCACTGTCCGTCGCTCCCCGCGCCATCGGCGCGCAGCCCTGCGAAGTAAATGTGATCCGACGAGGACGCGCGTGGCTTCACGCTAGGCGCGTTTCTGCTGCAGGAACAGGCTGGCGCAAGAGCACTAGGTTCAGGGGACAAGCGAGGGAAGGGGTTAGGGCGCGGCACAACCACCTCCGGACGAAGCAAATGTGACGATTTATCGGGTTATTATACGAATCGTCACCACAAAGGGCGCGCTATGACATTTGGTCAATCGGTTCTCACGAACGGTGAGGGAAAATCTATCACAGATGGTCTCTCGTCTCCCCACACTGTTAGTAGGGAAAAGATCATACAGGGGCCGAACAGTGCCAGAGGTGATCAACCAGGGGCCGAGAGGACCGAAACTTACCAAACCACTGCGCGACGAGGGATTAACAGGGGGTCTTAGTTTATTGCACATAATTATGTTACTAGTGCCATGTACCGGCTCGCATTTTCGCTCGCATGTCGCTTAGCGAGCCGACTCTACCGGGAACTCTAGGACAGCCAGAAAAAACTAAAACTCATAGGGAACCTGGATGTAATTTCGGGATGGATCAACCCTAAATAAGGGGCCCTCCCTGATATTTAGGGTTGATGCCTCCCAAGTCGCATCCGTTTCCGAATGGGTAATATATTTTTTTCTTGTGCATTTCCGATCGGGTAGGTGATATGTATCACCTAGAATATATTATGTTGTTACGTACTTACGATTTCACACCCCGGATATTAATTCCAGAAGAAGGCGACGCACACGTCGTAGTAGACGGCGGTCAACACCCTAAAAAAAACAATGAACTCGTTTTAGCAATTTTCTTTTACTCATGGTTCGGCTTGTTCGCCGAGTCGTTTGGTCAGCTCCAGGTTGAAATCCTACGGTCGAGATTTACCGGCCCTACTTTGAACACCCCTCTGGCACTGTTCAGCCCCAATATGATCTTTTCCCATGTTAGTGCGTTAGTCACTAGTCTAAACGCCCGCACTAAAGCTGAAATCCTTCCCAGCACTGTCACAGTTGCGATTTCGAGACCACTAGCGCGCTAGTTTTGTTCGTCTTTTTCGTGTAGCACTGTTACAACCGCAGGTGACGAGAAGTGAGAATGGAATGGATGAACTATGAAACAGTTGGGTACAAGTATTAACCCTAATTGGGTTGTACCCCTTATGGACTACCCCACTACAGCTTACACAAATGTATCAGCTATAATGTTCTAACACACCCCCATAGGCAAAGTGGGGGAGAACAAGTGGTCACAAGACCAGTCAAGCAAAGCAAAGCAAGCTCAGGGTGGATCACAAAGTCACCACACATTCCAAGCACAAGAGTAAGGCCACAAGGCCAGTTCACATGCAAGGTCATATATATAAAGGAAAAACAAGCAAGTGCAGGTATAGAAAGAGACAGTACAAACAAGATCAAGAAGTGAGCAAGTGAGACCAGGTAGGCACAAGACCTAGCACAGTACAAAAGCGCTGATGATCACAAGGCGGAAGGGCTTTGGTGAAGATATCAGCAGTGTTGGCCTCAGAGGCCACGTAGGTGAGGCGGAGCTGACCACGCTGCTGCAGCTCACGAGACAGGAAGTAGCGGAGAGCAATGTGCTTCGTTCTGTGCTCCAGTCTGTGCTCCCGACACAAGGCCAGCATGGCCTTGTTGTCTACGTACAGAACTAGAGGAGAACGAGGCGGATCTCCTAGGTCAGTCAGCAGGTAGGTGAGCCAGCGTAGCTCCTGTGCAGCCATGGCCCCTGCGTAGATCTCAGCCTCACAGCTAGAGTCGAGAACAGAGGACGAGCGGGTAGACCGCCACGAAACAGAGCCGGAACCAAGGCTGAAGGTGTAACCCTGTGACGACCGCTGCGTAGCCTGGTCGTCAGCCCAAGAAGCGTCAGCGTGACCTGTGAGGACTACTCGACGTCGCCCTCCAAGCACTAGCCCCATGCCCGACGTACTGCACATGTAGCGCAACACCCTCTTCGCTGCAGCCATGTGCTCTGGTCGGTGTCTCCCAGGAGCAACTTAGTGTGCCAAGATGCTAAGAGGGTATGCAAGGTCAGGTCGAGTGCAGGTCATCAGGTACATGAGGCAGCCAACAAGCTCTGGGTACGGGCCACTCGACTCTACGAACTCATCCGAAGGCAGAGCTGAGAGCGAGTGGCGAGTAGACAGAGGAGTGGCCTGAGGCGAGGAGTACGTGAAGCCGAAGCGCTGAAGGACCTGCTGCACCATGTGTGACTGAGTCAGGATAATGGTGCTCTGTGCTCTGTCCCAGGTGATCTGCAAGCCAAGGTAGCTGCGCAGTTCACCCAGGTCTGTGCACGTGTGTCTCTTCTGCAGCTCGGACTTCACGTGGGTGAGTCTAGCAGTGTCAGCAGAGGCAAAGACCAGGTCGTCGACGTACACGAGGATGTAGAACGGCGGCAAAGAGGTGTCGGTGCGTAGAAACAGCGACGGGTCAGCTGTAGAAGGAGCAAACCCAAGAGCCGCAAGTGTAGTCCTCAGTGTGTCGTGCCACTCACGGGGCGCCTCGCGGAGACCGTAGACTGGCCGCCGGAGGCTCCACTGGGTGCCAGGAGGAAAAGACCCAGTGAAGCCAGGAGGGCGGCGCAGCCAGATCTCCTCGTGCAGGCTGCCCTGCAGGAAAGCAGTGCTGAAGTCAAGAGAGTGAAGCTCGTAGTCGCGCTGAGCGGCTATGTGCAGCAGCACCCGAAGAGTGGTCATCTTCGGGGTGGGAGAGAAGGTCTGAACGTAGTCAACTCCCTGCCGCTAACTGAAGCCACGAGCCACGTAACGCGCCTTGAAGACAGGCGGAGAGCCCGGCGGCCGCTTCACCCTGAAGATCCACATCCCACTGACGATGTTCGCCCCAGGTGGGGGAACCTCGTCGACGTAGGTGCCTGTGGACTTCCAGGAAGCCATCTCTGCGTCCATGGCCAACTGCCACTGAGAGGAGTAGGGACCCTCGATCGCCTCAGCGTACGATCGAGGAGTCGGGATGTCTGGTGCATCCGGTTCTCCCTCAGAGGCAATCAGCATGGACACGAGATGGGGCAAAGCAGCCGCAAAGCACTGGAACTCCTCCTGCCTGTCCTCAAGGACGTCCGTGCTAAGAGCACACTCACCCCCGACGGACGGAGGACAGACAGACTCAGACTCAGCAACAAGACTGACAGCGAGCAGCGAAGTCGACAAGCTCAGCAACGAGAGCAGACGCAGCAGCAGACTCAAAGGAAGGGTCAGTGACGACAGTAGCTAGAAGGCGCGTGACCGAAGGACTAGCAGCACGAAGGGAGTCAGACTCCGGGTCAGCAAGAGAAGGAAGAGAGGACTCTGAAGGAGACGGCAACGGGACACGCAGAGGAGCAGTGGAAGGATGCAGTGCCATCTGGTGTGTGCCGGGGACCGCAGGAGGACGCGGACGCGCAGTACGACCACTAGTGCGAGCAGCACGAACAGGTCACGCGGGACGAGACGCAGGCTCACGTCGCTCAGCAAGACCTCCAGTAGGACCAGTGTAGGGAGAAGGAGCAGGTAGAGGGGAGGCGGGCGGTAACTGTGACTGCGACTGGACAGGCGGTGGACACTCTAGGGTAGGAGCAGGACAAGTAGAGGGCGGGAGACCAAGAACCTGCTCCAGGAGCGGAACGAAGTACGGCCTCGGCCGCACAGCGCCTCTACAACCAGCAAGTACGGCACCAGTACCCCCAGTGGCAGCACCAGAACCAGCAGAACCTCCAGCTCCAACAGCGCCAACTCCAATACCCTCAGAAGCACCAGCGCCAGCAGCACCGCCAGTGCCAACACCCCCAGCAGCTCCAGCTCCAGGAGCACCAACTCCGGTAGGACCGTCAGCACCAGTAGAAACACCAGCGCCAACACCCCTAGCAGCTCCAGCTCCAGCAGCACCAACTCCAGTAGGACCGTCAGCACCAGCTGCCTCAGCAGCACCCCCAGACGCACCAGCACCAGTAGAAACACCAGCGCCAACACCCCCAGCAGCTCCAGCTCCAGCAGCACCAACTCCAGTAGGACCGTCAGCACCAGCTGCCTCAGCAGCACCCCCAGACGCACCAGCACCAGTAGAAACACCAGCGCCAACACCCCCAGACTCAGCAGCACGTCTCCAGCGGCGGGCGAACCACACGCGCAGCTCCTGTGGAGAGAGCGGCTCCCGCCTCTACGAAGTACTGCCGGCGGCCACACGAGCAGACCCAGCATCCCCAGGCTCCGCACCCCTAGACTCAGCACCCCCAAACTCAGCACCTCCAGTCTCAGCACCCCCAGACCCGGCACCCGCAGACGCGGCACCCGCAGGCTCAGCACCTCTAGCAGCACCAGAGTCTACTGCTACCTCGACAGGCTCGACTGCGTCTACCTGGGACACACCTGAAGGGGCAGGACCCTGAGGAGGGAGGGGGTCTACCTGAGTAGCACTTGACGCAAGGAAGAGCGGCGGCGGGGGGAGGGGCGCAGTGCGGTAGGGGAAGAGACGGTAGTAAGGCACCGACTCGTCAAACGTGACGTCCTGGGAGGACAGAACACGGCGCGTGGTGGGGTGGTAAAACTGCCAGCCAGGCGCGTCAGGGGGGAAGCCAAGGAAGACGCAAGGAATAGCACGAGGGGACAGCTTGTCCGCAGACAAGTCGCGAACAAACGCCCGAGATCCCCAGACCCGAAACGCAGACGCATCGCCAACCTTCCCTATCCACCGCAAGGCGGGGGAGGTCTCTGGCAAGGAGACCCGGGGCTGAAGGTTGAGCTGATGCGCGGCGTACTGAACCGCAAATGGCCACAGAAAATGGGGGGCACCCGCATGCATCATGGACGTACGCGCGACGTCCATGACCATGCCAATGCGGCGCTCAGCAATCCCATTTTGCTGTGGAGAGGCCGAAAGCGTGAAGGTCTGGCGGATGCCCTGTGCCCGACAGAAGGCTCCCAGACGGGCAGAGGAAAACTCCCCTCTTGTGTTTGAGTGCAGACGCAAAACAGGAAAGTCCGA